GCGGCGTAGGGTATTGGGTGGGATGTCAACAATCGTTACATAATTTTCAAGACCACTTTTTCTTAAGCACTTTTTAATGGCGTGAGTTACTTCATTTGATATGAAGGGCAGCTTAAAGTATCACCAAAGATTTTTTCATATAATAGGTGTTCACTCTTCTATTCATCTCTGTTTCGTCTCTCTATGTAGAAATTTTTCTTTTCCGTCTATGGGAATCCCACCTGTTTTAGAATTTTTGATGTATTGCTTGTAAGAAGAACTAATAAAATTTAGGTCGTCCACTGTGAGGCTGAGATATTTGCAAAACGCGGATTAAAGTCAGATCGAACCACAATTACCCTTTCAAGTTGCTCACAAGTTACCCACTGCGCCATTGACCTGAATTTCTTTCAGCCAGTTCTCTACCTAACGATGCCAACAGCAATCCTCTGTCAACAAGTAATGTTCTGGAGAGCAGAACGCTGATTTGTACCCAGTCGGGAAAAATACTGGTAGGCAGTAGTTAGTCATCGTTCAATTTGACAATGAGTCGTAAAACACATCATATCAATATTGGTGACTAAGTGTTTCCAAATTCTTCGATAGCTTCACTCTTCGTATACGTCGTATTATTAAAACAGTGTTCGTCTGTAGCGAAACTACATTAAACATAAGTAATCAGAAGTTTCTGCCCAAATATTGAAAAAGCACTATGCGAGAGGAATATTCTCAGAGATCGAGATCGCCAGCAGAGGGATCTAATCACTGTGAAATGAACAGCAGGATAGAAATTGAACCATAGAAGTGTCCTGCCATAGATAGATAAAGAAGAAGTTAGAGAACCCTTTACAACTTTCAAGCATCTTAACAAATTTTGCATCGACTAGTCACTGTTCACGAGGCGTTCAGAAACTCCATGTAGTACAGAAGCTCTGGATTCTATGACACCTAAATAAGTGGTGCAAGATCGGGTTTCTGTTAACCGTAGCATCAATGCTTGTGGAATGGGCCATGCATTCAACTTCATTAAGCATCGTCAGAGGAGACTAAGTGCATATTTGACCTATACAGTGGCTTGCAGCTGCCTACCGATCTACCACATCAGGGTTGCTTTCCTTTCAGACAACTTTGAACCAGACCGATTTGCCTAGCCCTGAGGGATGGAAGACTTGCTGAGCCCAGGGCGCGGGATTAAACAAAGGACCACGAATGTACTGCAGGACACCTCTAGCCACTGGGCTGCACAAGCTAGCTGCTCATTCAAATTTGCCAAGAAAAGGTTTTTTGTAAATTACTAACTATAGAAAATGGCACTCCACAGATCACGTTAAGTACAAAATCTGTGTTAGACAAGTTATCGATTGAGTAGAAAAGTGTAACAAGGAGAATCTTCGCCGTAAAATAAGGTCAGAAACAGCAAGCGTTGAACTCAACGCGTGACGGTCCGCATGTGTTAAAATCTGGGCGGTTATTTGTGTCCGCCTATGCTTGCATTGATATAAATGCGTATGATTGCTTATTTGCTAACTAATTTGCGCTTCCTTGACGAAAATTCCTGGCGTTTTTCAGAACCGACTTCCTATTAATATTGAGTTATTTAATAATTTGACGCCTTTCTTATGAACAGACACGACGTCAGTATGTCGATTTTGCAAGAAGTAACCCTTTGGCGGGCCTCGACTTTTTACTCGACTGGATGACGGAAATGGTTAGTAATCTGTCGACTAATCGACTAAGCAGAAGACACACCGAAGGAAGTATAACAAAATTCGAGCAAAAGCAGAACAAAAACATTCACTGGTCAACAACTTCGTCCACTTCTTCCCAGGTAATGAAACCGGAAAAACTTCGTCGAATTCCGGCCATGATAAATGTGACTAATTCAGCTGGAAGAAATCCATCTGCAACCGTTGGAGATTCTTTCATGTTACCGTAGTTTTAGGGCGCATGTGACGCAGTGGTCGGAGGCGCCCTGCAAAATCGAATCAATTCCCGCGCCTCTTGCTAGCCAAGCCTGCCATCCCTCCGGGGTCGGCAAATTGGTACTGGACTTGTCTGGGAAGATAGCAACACTGGCTCGATACATCGGTAGGCCACCGCGAATAATTGTAAAGGCCATACATGCATTCAATCACCTCCAATCGATACTTAGTGAAGTCGAATGCATGGCACATCCCTAAGGAATAGATCGACGCTAAAAGCTTTGTCCTTTATCCTTTTTATTTTCGTAGTTTTGGCGTTCCTCCAAGACACTCTGCCGTGGTGTTTTTATCTGATGCGTTCTTCTTATTCTGATCGTGCGACGATCGGCTGTAAAGTTTTCGCCTTTGTGTTTCTCTGCTGCGTGTTTACTCAGTGGAGCATTTCATCGATTTTTAAGTCCAGGTGTTCCTTTATACAGAAAGAAGGCGACATTTTGGTTTCGTCAACAATAGACAACAAGTTTTCGATAGAAGTTTAGCCTCCATCTCTACCTCCAATTTCTCAAAACATTCTCCTAGGCAACTTCATGTCGCCTCAGCTCATCAATGTTTAGATCTCAGTGGTTTTTAACTCTACTAAAAATATATTGCTCCTGAAAATGTTCTAATAGTCACTGCTTAGGTCTGTAAAGGAAACAAAACAATGTCAAAGACTTCAGTTCAGTCTTGTGAGTTCTTCCTTTCTTTTCTTTTTTCTTTTGGAGCGGTACAATCTTCGTTGAGAGGGTTTTCTCCAAGGAATCTTCTCTTAGCGAATCAAAATTATTTTTCGAGAACCTCTCCTCTACATGAACTCAATTCAGACCATGACGAGCGTTTCTTCGCCAATGTCCAGAACTCAGCGCCAGTTCTTGTCGTTCGTGGATCGTCATTTGGAATGTAAATATTCATATTTGAAGAGACAGTTCTGCACAATGCATACAAATGCGGGACATTAATACCTCAAAAAAAAAACGAAGCTCTACCGAAGATGGTGGCAAATCATTGGTGTCGGTTAATAGCGTTGAAATTGGTGTTTCAGCTAGCATTCCTCAATTCACTATTGAATTATACTTACTCTGTAATGATTAAGCGCAGGAAGCATAGTGGTTAGCGATGCTGTGCAATAGAATACGTGTAACCGCTGGTTCAACGCTGGTGTGGGCCAACCACGTCAATCATCTATAAAATATGTACAGACTGATACCACGTTTGCTTGGAAAAGCTCCATCCGACACAGAAAAGCCGTCGTCTGCCGCTGGTAAAAAACTGGGAATGCAATAGTAGTGCTACTCATTGATGTTAGGAAGAACCAATTCGAAGAGTATTCAACGACGTTCGCGAAGAGGAACATGTATTCATGTATTCAATTGGAATCCGACCCAACATTCAGATCCGGGGATCTGCATTCATACTTCGTCTTCTACTTCCTCATTTTCTATCTCTGGTTGAAGCTGTCTTCGGGAATTGTCCTTTTGTTTACTTGATGTGCTCTTTCTGCTAACTTCCTTTAATCTCAACAACTAGGGTATGAGCGAATTCCATGAAAATGTTCCCTTAGCAGCTGAGGTTATGATCAACCGAAAGGGTAGATTGAATCAGCACAACGATGCAGGATTGTTTAGAAGCCATAAACGGATCAACAAGTTCGTCTCCTCTTTTCCTTGTTGTTAAAATAATGTAGGAATCGTTGCCGTGATTGTTTTCTAGATCCAGGATGGTAACGAAAACCGAATAAAAGACCGTAAAGAGAACGTAGGGAGAAAAGATTAAGGATTCAGCGAAGACCAATCCATCTGGCATGTGTCATAGATTCGTCCCCATTCATAGTGCCTAGATATCACTCGATGCATATTTGACCCATACAAACACTTCCAGTGGCCAATCGATGCATCAAGACAGTATTTAAGAAATGCATCAATGAAATACCGACTGCTACACGACATATTGCTCTCCAGAGCAGCAGATCATAATGGATGACAACTGATCAACGAACGTTCTATATCAAAGGGTGCTGCCGTGTATGGAAGCGTCATTCGAACATCCCACTTGATTCCACTTATCGCAACAACTAACATCCACATCACGATAGCGACCACCTCCGGACGACCGACATCGCGACTCTAAGAAAGAGGTGATGGCGCCAAAACGTTAGGCGAATAGAGTTTTTTACGCCAACATAATGTCAGATCATTCATGTAGAGAAATATCAAGACAATATTTTACCGGCTCAGGTTGGCTCCCTGACCAATTCGCTGGTCTCGAACGTATAGACGGCTTAGTTTCTTTGGAAGGAGAGACCAGTGAACGAGCACAGCGCTGAACGCGCCACAATATCTAGTCTGAAATAAAATCGTGATAAATAACGCTCGATTACGCAATTAATCATACTAATACAAAAGGCAATTAGTAACACCAACTGTTTACATACTACTGTTTACCATGGACTATCGATTCGAGCCATCGGCTCCAAGTAAGACAAAGACGTCGAAACGTTTGCTGAATAAATATTTGGTAACAACCTCGTGTTAGGTTATCAATAAAATGTGGTCCATTGATAGTCGCTCGAGGATTCACAACAAAGTTGGTGAAAAAATGTTCGCAATCGTTGCGCAGCCATTAGTTATACTACTCGGAACTCGACTCGATAAACCGGTTCTCACTTTCTCCGCAAGATTCGTTAACACATTCTCCTCTCACATGGGAGCGTAACAAAGAACTCAGGCTTTCTTTTGTAAAGTCAATGACTAGTTTGACGTTACGCAGCAAGTATAATAATGATAAGACGGAACCAGAGATAAACATGAAAAACAAGTATGATGCATGAGAAAACAAAAACTTATCAAGCCGTTATCACAGTCAACTTGCGCAGGAAATCAGTTGTCATAGAAAGTGCAACCTTTGGGTTGTAAATCGAGAGATGATATACGCGATAGCGACTAGAATATTTAAAAATATCCATGAATTATGCATCATGCACAACACTTGACGACTAACTCCTAAACGTTCAGAGCAATCGGCGATCGAAATGTGACCTTTCACTAACCAAATGCTCGCTAAATGTCCAAATATGTTCAGTGCCAGTATCAACTTATTGATTGGCAACTGCATTTGGTGACGACGTGGGTGAGGAAGTATAGTGACAGATATGGTATTCCACTGGAGGCCGCAAGTTCGATCCTCGTTCCAGAATTTGGAGTGGCCTCCGTACTTTCCGGACAACTTAAAGCAATTTGTATATTATAATGTTTACCTTTTTTATTTGCTGCCTACTACAATTCTTTCACGGCAGGGCACTATGCGAAATACAACCACAGTGATGCTGAGATATTTGCCAAACTCCGGATCGCAGGTGTATGGGGTTAGGAACGAACGCGTTATTGCCCTTCCTGGGGATTAATGCGTTCCCCACCACACCATGCAGGTCCACCGCTTCGCCTGTCTCTCAGCTGCTTGTTATATTACAGTTGCGTCAGCTCAGCGTATTGCAACGACTTTTCATCTACTCAACATTTCTTTTAGTCACATATTTTCGAGTCTATCACCAAATGCGGCAGGGTAGATAGAGAAGATTTATCAAAATCAAACGAAGATCTTTCCAATTTCCATTAAGACGCTGTCAACGAAACTGGAACCATAGGTTTTTGTATCAGTTAGATGTAAGTGGGCTTTTATCCTAGCAGAACGGAAAACTACCGGGCTGATGTCTTTGTTGTGGAGAATTTTCCGTTCCATCCCTCCGGGGTCGGCAAATTAGCAAACTAGAGAGCTAGCAAACTTGTCTGGAAGGATAGCAACGCTGATTTGATATATCTGTGAGCCGCTCAATGAAATTGAAAGCATGGGGCATCACTTAGGGATTTACTAACAATAAAATCTTTATCTTTTCATCCTTTATCAAGTGAGATTCCGTTTTCCTTAGTTATATGGCCTAAATCACATATCATGCCGACACCAAAATTTTTTTCACTTTTTTCCTTTATTTTCCATACATTTTCCACGAAGTTCTTCTGATTTGCCTATGAGCTCAGCTACCACATCAAAAGTTTTTTTCTTTAGTAGTGAATACCAGTTGAGTTGATGCTCACTGTAATCGTGAGAAAATTCTTTTAAAACGTCTCTAAATATTTACTGATGAGGCAAGCGCTAGATTTTGTTGATCCAAAGGAGCCTTTCACAGGCAACTCTGGAACTAATTTACGCAGAACCCGAAAAGATGGGCGCCTTGGTTGGCCAGAGCAACTACACGACATTTCTAACTACTGCGTTTTTCGCGCCTTTATATGGAATTTAAGTTCACTAAATACCACTTTTTCATGCATATTTATGTCAACAGGAAGCGAAGTACTCGAAATTTATGGCCGATTGTTGTGGGAATGTTCTCTGTTGTAATGGTATTATCTAAAACCTACTCGACAGTCGGTCATAACAGATTTGTTTCCTATAGATTGGGAGAATTGCACCAGTCTTCCATTCATACATATGTTTATGAGTAGTTTCCCACAAAGCGACGAGATAGAACTTGTCAATGTTGGCACTCAACCAGTTTCAATCGCTGAGTTCAATCCCACTTTCCAGTGTTTGATATAGTTGAGGGCCATTTTCTATTCGCACCTCCTTTCTGCCTTTCAAACACCATTCTGCTTTTCTTATTTTTTTCCCAGGCGTTGTCTCTTTCTTTTTATAGTTTGAGAAATTTCCACTAAATCCGTAAAAGAACAAGGTGTTCCTTCCCTCTACATACGTATAAAAATACAGCATCTCTTTAGATGCTTTCATTACTGCACGATGTCTTTTTTATGTTAAACTTCGTTTCTACTTCTTCTGTTCTTCCCTCAGACTCTTCATTTTTGATTGTCTCTCTAGCACTTAAGTGGTAGATTTCGCTCGATTACTTCCATAGAATAACTGGTTAAATTTTCCAACACTACTTTTTTCAATTGATTTCGTTTTAGCTAATGAGAATGCGTGTAGTGCAGTGGTTAGAAGTTACCTGCAATGACTATATAGTCTTTCGTTCAAACCTACGACCCCGGCTCACCATCCTTCCATTCCCCAGAATCAGTAAATTGGTGCCAAAATTGTCTATGAGGATAGCAGCACTGACTTGGTTGAGCGCAGCAAGTCATTGTATAGCTCAGATACGCTTTCAGTCACCTCGAGCAATGCTTAATGAACTCCAATGCATGGCGCATCCCACAAGCATTGATGAACGGCGGAAGTTTTATTCTTTATCCTCTTAATGGTTTTTCGACCATAACGTTCTGTGTGTTCCCTGATCTCATTGAGGTAACCTTCGATAGATAGCGAGCGTACTTCGGCGGAGACGGAACTGCTGCGTTCGCTGTCGGTTCCGGACACTGCCGCTGCTCCGGCTGCTTCTGCTAGCGCTTCCGTCGCTTCTTCAGCCGCTGCTTCCGTCCGTCGATGCGGTGCGGCTGCGGCTGCCAGTCGGACGGCAGCGTATGTGAGAGAGGCGGTGTCGTCAGTTGAGGGCGGTCTGAGTCGTCTCGATCCAATGTGTGTGATGCCGCAACAGCGGCTCGAACGCATTACACGAGCACTCTGCTTCATTCTAAACTTCTTCTTTCTTGTAAGTTTTTTCAGAATTTCGGACGAGTTACTCGTTTCACTTTATTCGGACATTATTCGCCCATCAAAACAAGGAGCATTGTTCATTTACGATCGATTCGCATTGTTTTCTTTCGGGATGAAATCATACATTTTGGAAGAAGTTGTGAATATTTGCGTAGACCTGATGAATTTATATTAAAACAAACATTTTTTATCCTTAATCACCACTTCCGAAGACATAGGAATTCTTTGGGAGTTGAGTGATAAAACTGTTGTTGGAGAAGAACGCGTGTGGAGGTCTCCTCAGTTCATTTTGTTCCAGAACGTATGGAAACGATTAGTGCCAATCGATTTTAGCGAACTATTTTTTCTTAGGTTCTACGCCTTCGTTTTATGGCATCAACAGTAGAACTGCTTTGATGCGATTTTAAGATTAATGTAAGGGCAGGTTTTTTCGCCAAAATATTATGATTGAAAGGGAAAACAAACAAGATTACTAATGGAATTCACAAATGGAAGATTTTTTCTAAAGATGAAAAATAAATATTAGCGGTGATTGCTGATGGCACTGGTAGACAGAAAACTAGGCAAGAGAAACGCAGATCAAGGGCCTCGGTAGCGCAATGTGTAATGGGCCAGTCTCAGGAAGTGAAATCGTGGTTCGATCTGGCCCGGAGGCAAGTTTTACGAATGTCTCAGCATCGTTGTGGTCGATTTTGCACACCGTGGCATGAAAATTGTAATTGGCAGTAAATAAAATGAAAGAAGTAAACAAATATTAGCATTTAATAAGGGCATTACTGAATCGAACAATTAGCCTAGCTATTTATATTTAAAAGAAATCTTGTGTAAAACGACTTTACAAACTTCCTAATCCGGTAATTTTTACTGATCGCCATAAAATACTCTCGGAGGAGACAGTTTTTTTTGTCTACGCCATAAATAATATTTCATTGTAGACGAAGTTTGTCCTAAATGACAGGCTGTGGGTAAGTTGTTTTCCGTTGTCCGGTGACAAATTCAGTGTTAGTTGTCCAGAATGTTCGATAGAATTGCGATGAGTGTTTGATTTCGTGTCAGTTTTCAGTTGTTATCGCTGTTCTTAATTACGTTCGTCTGTTTGGCGGCCACTAATGCGCCAACACCAAACATCGCCCCACAGCCACTCACGTCATATCCTCAGGTCTGTTCTTTTTTCTGTATGTTCTCTCTTCCTCTTTCTTATTCTTCTTTAAATTCATCTTCCTTTCCCTAAGAAACAAAGGAAAAGATCAATGCTTCATTTCTGATTCATCTGTTTTTTTCTTGTGCACGGTACAAAATAAGGATATAAGAATCGAAGAAAGAGGTTTGGAGTTGAAGAAAACCCATAAGTCTCTCAATTTCGCTGTCTGGAAAGGCTTTAAAGTATTACAATTTTACCGTATTCCTCTTTACTATTGTTATTATGTGTGTTTGTCGCCAATATTGTATAGATATGTCAGCAAATGTTCAGCGAAGGGGAAACACTGAAGTTTATCAGAGCGTTTTTGAATCAGAGTTTATTGATTTTCTAAGGAAGCAGAAAGAGGGTTTCGGTAAAGATTTCTGTTACCAAGGGATCACATCTGTATTTAAAACTGAATATAAGTGAATTCTTCCCTCCATTGGAATAAATGACCTAGAATTGTGAAAAAATTGACTTTAAAACGGGTGAATGCTGATAGCGCCTGTAGGTCAATAACACGGCTGAGAGATGCGAAGCGAAGGACTCGCATGGTGTGGTGGTAAATGCGTTAGCCTCAGGAAAGGGTAATAACATGTTTGGTCCCCACTGCGAGCACCAGCGGTCCTGAGTTTTGTAAACATCTCAACAACATTATGATTATATTTCACATAATACCCTGCCGTTAAAAAGTAGTACGCAGTATATTAAAACTGACGACATTGTGACTTGAAATTCTTCATTCCTGTTTCGTTTTTACATATTTTTCTTCAGATTTTAATTTTAGCCAAATTTTCGTCTTAATACAGATCACCAGTAGTCCCGTTGATCGTCGAGTGACCCGAGAGCGTGCCATAAATCTTCCATTTTTCCTTGTCGCGTAGAAAAGTAGCCCAGTGGGTTCTGCTCTCTTTAGAGACTCGTTGAGCATCATATCTTTCTTCAAGGCTCTTTAAGAGGAACTCTGACCATCGTGTCGGTGGTCTTCCTGTAGTGCGTTGAACATCCCTTGGGATTCCGTCACTAACAGCTCTTGTCCGTCGGTTGTCGTTCATACCCATTACGTGTCCGCCCCATCTTATCTTCGGCTGTTTGACACACAGATCGGCATCTTTGATTTTTGATCGTTGACACAGGTCGGTGCTTCGGATCCCTTCCCTATACGTGTGACACGGGGTATTCTAGCTTTGATGTGGATACCGTATTGAATTGTAGCGGCAATTATTGCCATTCTTGATATTTCATATAGTTGTCGTGTTTTTTGTTTGGAAAGTAGGACGCATTTACAGGTGTTGGTTAATCATTAGATAGAGTTTATTTTAAAAAGACTGGAAGCCCTTCTACAAGTGCTTTATTTCAGTACGTTATCACGCTCGTCCTTATTGCATCTTATTCCGTCTGCTTATTCTTACTGAACGTATTCGGCTTTATCTCATTATGTCTGCCAGGATCATTTCTCTTGTCGTTGGTGGGTTCGTTTAAATTGATTTCTTTCATCTCTAGAAATCATTCACTTCATTTCTTCTTTCTCCCTTTCGTTTCTTTTTACTTTCTCCTTATTTTTGGGAGGCTTCTGATGTTTTTTTCTGTTTATCGTTTTGTTATAAATCAGAAATGTTCTTAACAAAGGCTCATCAGTTATGCACCGTATCGGGATTGGTTCCTATCCTTTATGGGTGCAGAACTTAACATTATTATTCTCTTCTATCTTCTGTGAACCCTGTTCATGGTCGTAGAGCTTTTTTGTTTCACCTGGTCTATCGTAAAAACGGTCGCAGTGTTTCGAAATTGATCCTAATATCCTCCATTGTGTCGGCATATCCTCTTTATACATATTTTTCTCAGTATTTCATTGAAGTCATTTATTTGTTTAGACTATATTCATACTTTATTCCTCCTTTTTCTCCCCAGAACTTCTTTCTCAAAGCATTTTTGTTACATTTTTATTACTTGTTACACGATTCATAATCGATATTATGGGACCGCGGTCCAGTTTGTGTTTCATTTAAATAGCGACAATTCGGCAATGCTATAAATGTGTGGTGGTCTTTCGTCTTGATGATGATATTACCATTCTCCGCAAATGTCACTTCGCCGTCTCATGATAGACAACTTTCCCTACGATTTATAGCTCCATTTCTATCTCATGGGCAACAGTTTGCCATTTTTCTGCACTTGGTTTTTTCTAGAATTGACTGATGAATTGAATTGAGTGGAAGAATATTTCGAGAGAAGCACAGCTGAGAGAAAGATAAGTCGAGGGCATCAGTGGTACAGTGGGTAACATGTGAGCGCCCAGCAAGACTAGTCGGGGTGGGGGTCGAATCTGGTCTGAGGTCTGAGTTTTGCAACTATCTCAACATCATTGTGGTTGTATTTGATATAATACCCTGCCTTGAAAGAAGTAATAATCACTAAATTAAAAGGTTTTTACCGTACAATTTCGAGAATGTTTACTACTGAATTACCATGAGTAGCACCTCATTTCGTAAAAGATAAAAAGTGACCTTTTCGGATTCATTAATACTTAATTTAAAAATGCTTAAGAACCCAAATAATTTTAAGGACGTGGCGCGATTATGATAAGATTTATGGTCATAGAAGATTTATGGAATTCTCAAGACCGACTTTCTGTTAACCTCGGCATTAATTGATAATTCAATTCAATCTTTTTCTCTGACATTTAGAATTTCGGTGCTTCAGTACGCTGACAAACTGAGGTTGGTTTAGAATCGCTATTACCTTGCCTTTGTCTTTTTCCTAAGAAGCTGCCAGTTTTTGTTTTTGGTACTGTGAATGTCTTCCTGCACATTTTGCTATATACACTCTTCCCCTCTTTCCTTCTTGGCAGAAATCCTCATCGAAGAGTGTAAGTTCTTTATTGTTCTTTGCTCTTATTGTCCTTCGTTGTGTTTTTGTCACAGAAAGCATTATTACCACTCTAGTACTACGTGATTGTTTTGATGCTATGAAAGGTTACGACGGCGACCGACGTAAACCAGAAATGGCTTAAAAAATTAGAAAGCTAGCTGAGAGAAATGCAGAGCAAGGGCCTCCATGGCGCCGTGTGTAATTCGCAACCCCCGGGAAAGGGAAATCGTGGTTCGATCTGCGTCGAGGTGCAAGTTTTGCGATTATCTCAGAATTGTTGTGGTTGATTTCGCGTAATACTCTGCCGTGAAAATTATAGTAGGCAGTAAATAAAAAAGTAAGACATTGTGATTTCGATTGCAGCCTCAGTTTAACTGGGTTCAATGCCTATTAGGCTTTTCCAGATCAATCCCGTTGGCGGGTGATTGGTGATGGCACTGGTAGATAAAAATGGCTTAGTTTTGAGGGTCCTTTTATGACAAACGTCTATACCAACATTTCTTTCACAAAAGGCACTTCCTTTATGAAATCGTTGTTTCGTAGCATCAAGAAAAAAAATCTGCTTTATCTCTGATCTGCTTTTAGTCTTTGTATTATCCAAATTTTCTATCTTTTGGCACCAATGAATCAATGTTTCCTATTGGTTTGTAACTTGCCTTACGCAGTTCTAAGGCGTTTTTCTAAAATTTTTTCATAATACCTTCACGCTCTTTTTATCCTTTTGTTGTCGATGGAAAACTGAGGCTGTACTGCGACACAGAAAAAAGAAATATATTTTATCCTATTTTTGATCGTTGTGTTATCCTTGTGCTAATGAGTGTAAATCGCCTGCCCCCTCTCTCTTTGCGAGCTATTACTATGTCGACTTCAATGGGCACTCTCATTTTCTCTATCTTTATAAAATTGGCTAGTTGAGGATTTTAATTGCAGTGTTTGTTTTTTTAAGGGTTTGCCTTATCATGCTAGAAATAATCCTAATAATGCGATGCTAAAGAAATTTTTTTTAGAACGGGTATCAGAAACATTCTCTTAGTATATTTGGTTTGTTGATGAATTTTCGTAATGATTGAATGAATGGAATGGATGAAAAATTTGGTTTATTCTATACAAGACTGAACAACGGA